GATTTATCATTACATGGATGATATTTTAATAGCTAGTCAACATCTGCACACAGACCTTTTAATTACTGAATTGAAATCCCAACTTGAGTCTACAGGTTTAAAAATAGCTCCAGAAAAAATTCAGAAAAAACCACCATGGCATTACCTTGGCTGGATATTGTTAGCTGAACAAGTTAAGCCACAAGAAATTACACTTCAAACTAATATTCAGACATTGGCAGATGTACAAAAATTAGTAGGGGATATTCAGTGGATTCGGCCGTTTTGTGGCATTACCAACGAAGATCTCAGTCCTTTAATGCCTTTACTTCAAGGCACACCTGATGCCGCTGCCAAAAGAGAGTTATCTGAAACACAAACTTGCTTTGCAGCATATTGTAGACGAGGCAGCAAAATCATATGCCAGTAGATACAATCTTGATTTAAAAGTCACTCTGGCTACTGTTACTGGAGGTCCTGCAAATTGTCACCCCTTTGCATTACTGATGCAATGGAACGGTGCGAAAAAAGATCCCTTGTGTGTACTGGAGTGGATCTTTTTGCTGTACTGTGTGTAACTACACAGCTGGAAGCACTGGCTCGATTGATTATGAGAGGCAGATCGAGATTGATAGAGATAGCTGGTTTTGATCCTGCATCTATCATCCTTCCACTAACACAGGCATGTTTTGACTGGTCTCTGCAGCACTCAGACTATTTACAATTAGCTCTAGCAGGTTATTCTGGACAAACTTCTAATGTTTATCCACCTCATCGTTTGTTTTCCCTTCTGTCCTCTAACGCTTTTCTTGAAAAGCCTCTTTGTTCTGCGACTCCTGTGGGAGGTTTAACTGTTTTTACTGACGCTAGCAAAAATAACCACAAGGCTGCTATCACTTGGCTAAGTAATGCACAGTGGGACAAACATATTTTAAACGGCACCCCAGAGGATTCCCTGCAGACACTTGAACTAAAAGCTGTTGTTTGGGCATTAACAAAATGGTCCACAGAACCTTTAAATGTTGTATCAGACTCCCTGTATGTTGTAGGAGTAGTTATTTGCTTAGAACAGGCTATTCTCAAAGAGATAAGGAATAAGAGGCTTTTTCACTTATTCTGCCAACTGTTACACTTACTGCAACACTGTACTGAGCCTTATTTTGTTACTCATATTCGCAGTCACTCTGACCTGCCCGGTGCCTTGACAGAAGGTAACGATAGAGCTGACAAATCAGCAGCTCCCACCTGGCGTGATCCTCCTGGATCGACTTCCGACCAAGCTCGTCAGGCTCGTTCCTTTTTTCACCAGAATGCTAAAATGTTATCTCTCCAATTTCATTTAAGTCTCTCAGATGCCCAAGGAATTGTTCAGTCCTGTCCTGACTGTCAGCACTAAGGTGTTGGCATCGGAGTTAATCCCAGGGGTTTGCTGCCTTTGCAGATGTGGCGAATGGATGTCACACATTTTTCAGAATTCGGCTGTTTACAATGTGTTCACGTCACTACAGATACCTTTTCCTCTGTCCTGTGGGCAACACCGCTGTCAGGGGAAACAGCTAAACATGTTAAATGACACTTAGGTGGTTGCTTTGCAGTTATGGGTGTACCCTCACAGCTAAAAACTGATCATGGTCCAGCTTATGTTTCACGCTCTTTTGCACAATTCTGTCAGCAGTGGGGTGTGAGGCATATCACTGGTGTTCCTCACTCTCCAACAGGTCAAGCTGTCACTGAACGAGCTCACCAAGTGCTTAACTCCATCTTACAAAAACAGAAAACAGGGGAGATAGATGGGCTTAACCCCACAAGAGCGTATTTCAAAAGCACTGTATGTACTTAATTTTATCATAGAATCATAGAATGGTTTGGGTTGGAAGGGACCTTAAAGATCATCCAGTTCCAACCCCCCTGCCAGCAGCAGGGACACCTTCCACTAGACCCGGTTGCTCAAAGCCTCATCCAGCCTGGCCTTCAACACTTCCAGGGAGGAGCAGCCACAACTTCCTTGGGCAACCTGGGCCAGTGTCTGACCACCTTCACAGTGAAGAACTTCTTCCTAATATCTAATCTAAACCTACTCTCTTTCAGCTTAAACCCATTTCCCCTTGTTTTGTCATTAACTGCCCTTATGAAAAGTCCTTCCCCAGCTTTCTTGTAGCCCCTTCAGGTACTGGAAGGCCACTATAAGATCTCCCTGGAGCCTTCTCTTCTCCAGGCTGAACAGCCCCAACTCTCTCATTTTTTATGCCTGGTTGGCAATGCAGAGGATCCAGCCATGGTAGTCCATGGACGGGCCTTAGCGGAAAGTCCAGATAACAATAATAGCAAAATTCAGGTATTATGTAAAGATCTTACAGATGGACAATGGAAAGGACCTGCTGAAGTTCGTTTAACAGGAAGAGGTTCTATGTGTGTCCTTACAGATACTGGACCTAGGTGGGTTCCCGCCCGGTGGACAAAACTGTGGGAAGGACAAACTCTACATGGGAAGAACAGTGGGAAACCAGATGTCTCACCCCACACAGATCCAGGACAGACACACACGCAAGTACTCAGCTGTGTCCAATTTTTGAATCTGTAAACCACCTTGACTGACAGAAAGAACAATGGCAATGCACTATCAACCTATGGGTATTTTGATAGAGTTTTTCAGTCTTTTCATAATGATTCAAGCTCATTATAACATCTTACCCAGAACAAATATTTGGATTACTCTGGCTAACCAAATGCAGCAGAACACGCTTTGTTTGTCTCTTGCTACCCCGGACAACCCCTTTTCTACATGTCTGGTGGGTTTACCAGTAGATGACCCCGTGTCTCTTGTCCCTGCACAGGCAAGGAAAGCCACTCACACAGTGCAAGCAGTGGGTGATAACTGGGATGGATGGATCCCATACCTCCCTATTATGCCTGCAGAGCCACAGGAGCTGAATCTGTTGGGATCGGTACCAATGGACTTTTGTGTCTTTTTTAATTTCTCCACAAGCAACACAAGAGTCACTGCCCGGAATGTAAATGCCACTGTCTCCGCTTTTAGAAATAAAACAGCTTGGTGTAGTTCCTTATCTGTGGAGACAGAGCGTGGGCAGGAATACCATCCCGAATTCGTGGAGGCCCCTGCAGCCTGGGCCGTTTAACTCTGTTAACACCTGACATTACCATGATTTTGGGAAAGTTCAAAAATCGGTTAAGAAGCAAGCGCAGCACTCGCTCATTTAAGCAGGACTGTGATTCCAATGCAGAGTTCTGGAATCCTGGAAAAGTAACTGCAGCCTCTGTTTTTGCTCCTGGAGTGGGAGTTACGAGTGCACTAACGAACCTACACAAGTTAGGCTGCTGGCTTTCTCAACAATCTAATCTTACGTCCTTGGCGCTATCAGGCTTGCTGACAGATGCCGACTCAGTTCAACATGGCACTCTGCAAAATCGAGCTGCTATTGATTTTTTGCTTTTAGCTCAAGGCCATGGTTGTGAGGAATTTGATGGCGTGTGCTGTATGAATTTATCAGACCACTCAGAATCAATTCATACGGCCATTAACAAGTTAAAGGAAAATGTCAAACAGCTAAAGGTAGATAATGATGATTGGTTAAGCAAGTGGTTTCGGGGTTGGGGAATACAAGGATGGGTTTTTTCACTGCTCAAGTCAGGATTGCAGGTGTTACTTGTAGTTCTAGTGATCCTCCTTGTTTACTATTGTGTCTGCAAACGGCCCTGCAGAAGATGGTGAACGATGCTTTCGTCGTACAAACAGAAGAAGGGGGAATTGTGGGGTTTCTAAGAGCAAATGGACATTCTGAAGTTGATCAAGTATTATAACCAAGTGTGTGTAACGATAACTTTTAACAATTTGTTACCAGTTTCACCTGTAAGTTAAGCTTTAAGTTTATGGCTTTTTTTTTTTTTTTATTTTGATAAGTTATACTCATAAATTAATCTTGAAGTTAGGCTTTATGGCTTGTATTTTTGTTAAAAAACTCATTTAACCATTATTATATTCAATTTTGCCTTGTATGTTACAATGTTTAACAAAAGTTTTTCTTTTTCTGCTTCTAAAAAGAAAAGAGGGGAATTGTGGGGAGTGTGGGAACATGTCTTGGCGTACCCAGAAAGGACTGTGGGAACTGAAGGGGTACATGTCTGGAGATACAAAAAGCACCTGCATCGACAAGATATGAGAAAGGAACCTTGAAACATATCCAAAGGATGTACCCTGGCAAGCAAACAAGAAGGGATGCACACAAAGCCCATCAGCCAATGGCTCTGCAGAAAAGGGGCGTGTGAACTGCTCGTGCTGCGGGTGAAGAGCCAATAACATGTTAACGGGTGTGGGTGATTTCATTAGTTTTGGGGTATAAATATAACTGTATTAGAACAAATAAATGGCTTCTTGCTTGATCATATTGATCGTGTGGCAGAGTCCATTGTTGAGTTCCTGCACTTCTGTACTGGTTTTGGCTGGGATAGTGGTAAATTTCTCCACAGTAGCTTGTATGGTGCTATGTCTTGTGTGTTGGTAACACGGGGATGTTTTAGTTATTGCTGAGCAGCACTCACACAGCGTCAAGGTCTTTTCTGCTCCTTAGACTGCCCCACCAGTGAGTAGACTGGAGGTGCACAAGAAGTTGGGAGGGTACACAGCCAGGACAGCTGACCCCAAGTGACCAAAGGGATATCCCATACCATATGGCATCACACTCCTCAATAAAAGCTGCGGGAAGAGAAAGAAGGGGGAACATTTGGAGTGATGGTGTTTGTCTTCCCAGATAACTGTTACGTGTGATGGAGCCCTGCTGTGCTGGAGATGGCTGAGCACCTGCCTGCCAATGGGAAGTAGTGAATGAATTCCTGATTTTCTTTTGCTTGCACACGCAGCTTTTGCTTTACTAATAACACTCAACCCACGAGTTCCCACACTTTTGCCATTCCAATTCTCTCCACCATCCCACTGCAGAAGAGTGAACAAGCAGATGTGTCGTGCTTAGCTGCTTACCGGGGTTAAACCAAGACAGCTTCCTTACCTCTTCAGGGTGCTGGTCCCTGCTCATCAAAGACAAGAGCTCTTCCAACAGGTCTGGTCTCCTACTGAACCCCAACTGTTTCACATCTGTTTAGAGACAGGTAGTAGTTAGTAGGTGTGACCGGTACCCCCTACTCCCAACTCCTGGTAATACAGTTACCATAACTAATGCCATTTTATAACCCAAACAGCCATTCTCTGTGACCAAGTGGGTCATGTATTAGTTCCCCTTCCCCTCATTATCAGTCCCTGAAGGTCCTGTGCACCAAGTACATAAACCAAACAGATATCTTCTTCCCCTCCCTGCTGGCCTCAAGAGTTCTGGGTGCCAGGCTGACTACTCTCCTCGTTAACGGCCTTCAAGGTCCCAGGCACCCAGCCAAGCCAGTGGTGACCCTGTCACACAGCAGTGAGGGTAACAGCACATAGAGCACTGTTTGGAAAATCAAGCAGTTACAGGTTCTGTCTAAGTGGGAACTTCAACCCCAGCTGCTGTTGGACAGTAAGACCCATGACCCCTCAGTGAACAGGGACACCACCATTGTCTGCTTCCTCTGATGACAGAGTGGTGACTCGTGTTCTTTTCTATGTTTTTCGAGGCTAGGTTATGATTTTTATGTTCATACAGCAAACCAAGTATTAAGATTTTACCCAATTCACAGAGGGTCTAGGTGATTAGAAACCACAAGCTAAGCAGTCCTATAAACTTCTGTACTACACAACTTATAAAATTGTGATACACTGATTCTGCTTATAGAAATCCTGTGCTGTTCTGATAATAAATTCTATGATCATAAAACCCTGTTAAGAAAATAAATCTTTAACTGTAACTACAACTCGGTGCTGTCATCATTCTGTGAAGGATCCCTAAAAGAACCTGTCTGTCCCTTTAGTGATGGGTGACAGTAGGATATTTTCTGTGTGCTAAAGCCTGTATTTGCATTCTTCTCTCCTCTTCTTAAGGAGCAAAGAACAGGCAAAGAATTTAAATGAGTTAAACCTGAGCTGCTAAGGTACTACTCTCTGGTAAGCATTCAGTTTTCCAAGACACTGACATTTCACTATGACACAGCCATGATCTCTCTGATAGTCTGTGGCTACTGGGTCTGCCTTTCTCTCATACAACAGCCCCATCACTGCACTAAGGAATAATGTCCCTCATGCCAAAGCATCTTACTGTGGCTATTCTGAGCACTGGGAAGATTCCCAACCACCTCCCACTTTGCACTCCTCCTGTCGTAGCCATGTGGCTATCAATCACCAACCTTCCCAGACTGAAGGGATCGCTTCTAACTGGTTGCCTGCATCCAGTGCTTGAAGGAGGTCCAATATATTTTTAGGAGTTGGATAGAAGAGCTGATGAAGGAAGAGAATCACTTCAGTAAACTGTAACTGTTCCATTTCTCCACACTAAAGCTTTGAAGCTTGCTTACCCTAGTGAACACTTACCGAAGAGAACGCTTCTTTGTACCATTTCAACACAACATCAATTTGTTCCATCATGCACAACAATGAAAAGAATTTTGACCTACAGGAGGGGAAAAATGTTCTAATTCAGTAATGATTAGATCAACCAAACCACACAGAAGCAGCAGAAATTATGCTGTTCTGATCAGATTTGTATTGCACATCAGGGAACTGTATGATTGCGATACTCCATACAATTAAAAAAGCAGTAGGGTGTTTTTGTGAGAGAACTTAATGCTGACACTAGGTAACTGGCAGAATTAGTAAGAAGTGGATCACTGCATTTTAAAATCCACAATGCAATCAGGTTTGAGGTATCTGAATCTGTCTCAAATGCAACCTCTGGTTAAGAACTGCTTTAAGAAGTGAACTAAATTAACCTGGTTACTTGTGTAAATTCACAATACAAGCCTGGAACTTTGATCCAGTGCACTGAAGAGGAAAAATGTCTCTACACCAAGAAATGAATTTCCATTAATTTACCTTAATTTATTTACAGGCTAAATAAGGTAAAATCATATGAATCACCTCACACTTGAAACTGCATCTTATTTTGATTATAATTATTTGTCATTAATTTACTGGAGTATCTCTAGTTCCAATACCTAAATAGGCTTTTCTTCAAATCAGTATGCTCCAAGTACTTAATTATGTTCAGTAACTGCAGCACTTAATGACGTTGGTAAAGATGTTTCAGATGACATGATTACAGCATCAAATGGTGGAACTACAGGGGATTTCAGTGCCTAAATACACCTGCTGCACTGCAACCTCTCTCTACAACACCACACAGAGAGCCAGGTCTGACCTGGACACTATTTTGGTGTAACCTCCTAAAGTGCCATCCTAGGTGAACAGGACTGTAGAAAATACAACTGGTTGGTATAGTTGTTGGGTGGGGATTAAACTAAACTGATGCTCTAAGACACTTTATTTCCGTTCAGGCAAGGCCACAAATGGAAAATAAATCCTAAGCTATCACTGTTCTTAAGAAGGACCTAATTCCCAAACTGCACATACAATAACCAGCTGGTGTTCAGATATTGTGCAGGCAGATGCTTTGTTGAATCCTAGTTTGTATGCAAATTGACAACAATACACAAGATGCTGAATGTTAAGCTGTGTTTCACTCACCAGTAGGCATTTAACCGATCCATATCCAAGAATTTCCAGTTGTCTCCCTTCTCCATTGCCTTATTTAACCGATAGGCAAGCTTGATGTCCTTAAGATCACAGCACTGCAAGAAACCAATTAGATTAAAGATACCACACGTAACACTTACTACATCCCTCTGAGACTCACTTTCACAAAGGCACAAAGAGCAATGAGCTGACAGCAAACATTTTTAACAGGATGTGATTCAGTCCAGTGCCTGCCTAGGCATTTTATTTGGTAGTTGACACAAATGTGTGACTCTCCCCCAAAAGTGGGCAACCTAAACTGACACCTCCTGGTGTGGAGACCATCCGACCACTGCAGTGTCAGTAGAAGGGAGAGGTAGGGCACAGAAGACAGGGACGTACTCAGCCAGCTCTAGCAAGAGATGCACGTATCACAGGCATGCAAGGTACCAATTTAGGAGGTAACAAGCAAAGAACTGCAGAATCACGGAGGAAAGTTACAGGAGGTGATGAATGCAGGTGAAAAAGTGAAAGATGTTGAGAGCTAAACTTGTATGACAGGCTGGAAAACTCACAGGCAATTCTGAAACAGCTAGAGGGCTCAAAGGAATTCTGATTGCAGGGAAGAGGTACTTACTGCTTGCATAGCCGTGGTAAAAAAGTTGGCTGAAACAGAGAAAATGGAGTCTGTTAGCTTCCAACTTTGAAGGAGACACAGAGCAGCTCATTAACCCCACCTCCCAGGAGACAGATGAGACAAGTTCCATTAGAAAGCTGAACCTGTAGCTGAGTTTGACAATGTAGCAGGGATATTCACTTTACATGTAAAGACTCTGGTGTGCTCTGAGTCTTGCTAGCCAGTGCTCTGGAGGCAACTATACTGCTGCGCTTTTGGAGACAGATTTAAGCAGATGATCTGTTTGGCTTTAGGCAGTTTTACAAAAGCTACATTCTCTTGTCTGATGCAAGACAGCATTACCTGTCTAACAGGCAGGCTACAAAAAAAGGCAGCGACGTCATTCACCTTCTCTGTTAACTCTAATGGAAGAGAAGAGATGCAACAGAGATGGGTGTTCAGGCAGGTTACCCACCTCTTTAGTACATCCCAGAGCTGCCCAAGAAGATACAACTGCCCCCTGAAAATGTCACCTTCCTGTTTTGTGAGGCTTTGACTCTGGTTCCTGTAACTGACATTTCAAAGCAGCACAGAGGCTGATGCTGCCTGAGGGAGGCAAAGAAAGCCACAGTGGGAACACAAACTACCCTGCTCAGTAGCTCATTTCATCTGTGTGGGGAGAATTTCGAATAGGTGGTTTTGGTTTTCTGAAGGAAGTGTGAGGGCACTGGATGCTGTCAGAGGCTGAAACAACAACTGGCTGTGGGTAGCAAAACAGTGGAAAGAACTGTAAGGCAACTTACTTCAAACCATCAGGTACAACACACCTCCATCTCCCTTGCAAGATGTAATAAATTAAGTAAATAATTTTAAGTTGGAGAATACACTTTTGTGTTATTTGGGTGTTTAGTACACACTTCAGGCAGCAGCTTAGAGCAGAGGAAGAAACAGATTAACACATGTACGAGGACAAAGCAAACAAAAGAGGTGTACAACATCCTGACTATTTCCAGTCTTTTCTCCCAAGGATAAAAAAAAATACTGGCAGGATAACCTAACATGCTACTCCAACATAACATCTCCTAATCTATCTTTGTACTTTAAATGGGCAAAACCCGTATCAACTCCTCAATGGTTTCCTGAAGCATGCACTGAAATGGCTTCTTCATCCCACCACATACAGAAATATCAGCTGCTGAAGGGTGGCTTCACCATGTTAACACCATGTTGTACACAGCACAGCTACAGACACCTCTTTGCCCCAGTCGTCTTCAGACTGAACCTGCATCCACTTCCAAATGTACAGAAAGGCTTAGGAACATCCTAGGGCAAAGCTGTGTACATACAGATGGCAGAAAGAGAGAGTGAGACGTGGGATGTTCAGCATCTACCCTTGCTACAGACCCAAGCTTCAGTTTTGCTTGAAGTTTTATTTTATGCAATTTTCTGAAAAGGATTAGGAAGAACTAGAATAGGAATTCACACCACACCACAAAAAAACCCTCTTCACCAGACAGGTATCATTTCATGAAGCTGCTAGCAGATGTTCCTCCTTAAACTAGTCTTGTAAATACCCTTGTGTTTTTCAGTGGGACCCAAATGCTCATTCACACAGGCTACGTTCCTACTTCCACACAGCAGCCAGTGCACTGCTGCAGAGCTTAACTTCCCAGCAATGGAGTTTATCCTTCTTTGTCTCCAAAAAGCATCAGCAGGGACTGATGTAAGCAAGTTGCACGTGTACTTCCTAGCTGGGTAGAACTACCTGAAATTCATAGGTACCTCTTCACCCAAGCTTAATCAATGCAGATCGTCAGATATACCGAAGTCCCATACCATCATCAGGATCCTGGGGAGTGAAACTCCTGTTCTCAACGTCATCTAGCACCTCAGAGAGGATGCCCGATGGGAAAAGATCAACTGTAGGAAAAACAGACAAGCAACGTCGCATCTCAGTTTTGCTAAGCACTTCACTAGCAAATAACATCAGCCTGCAAATATCATAGAATGGTTTGGGTTGGAAGGGAACTTAAAGATCATCCAGTTCCAACCCCCCTGCCATCAGCAGGGACACCTTCCACTAGACCAGGTTGCTCAAAGCCTCATCCAGCCTGGCCTGGAACACTTCCAGGGAAGGAGCATTCACATATATAATATGGAAATGGAAATAAGCAACATGATTTCAAACAAGTGTCATGATTCTTTCACCTGTGCCCCTACTTGAGGTACAACACACCAGCTGCAAATTTTATTTCCTCTAAAATTTGCTCTACTATTGCCAGATTTCCACAACAGAGCAGATTCAGAAAGATAAAAGTACTTTCTAGCAAGGAATCCAACAGACCTGGAAGTTTGTCTGTTACAAGGCTGCACTGGGAAAAGCAAGGCATTTCATAAACAAACAAACAAACAAACAAAATTTAAAGGGGAAAAAAAAACCAAGAAAAACAAACCCAAACCCAGAGAGATTCCAGAGCAGTTCCTCCACATTTGTTAAAACACAAGGGCTGCATTCATGACTACTGTGTCTATTCTCTTCCCACGCCCACAAATTTTTGGCTAAAGGATCTGCAACAGTTGGGCTTCCACCTTCTAACACAGCTGTATTTCAAGACAGTTGCAACGCACAGAACTGTTGCAGAGAAACAAAATCCCTGTGCAACTTCTTCCCTGTGAGTGGCACAGTCTATGAAATCACATGTGCTGTAGTCAGATCCAGCCTCGTCAGAGACTGAGCAGCATTTGGTCTAAAACTTTATCAACTTGTGGCCACAAATGGAAAGGAAATGGGCTTTGTTTCCAGTTCTGCCAGTTCTCAAAACACAAGGACTCTTCCCTCCCTGTTAGAGGTTATGATCCTTGTAGCTTTTTCTTCGCTCAAGTAGGATCAGACTGCACAGGTGACATTAGGATTGCACATATAACAAGCTGTCTTTTAATCCATAAATCAACTGCCTTCACCCACCACATTTTGAAAGCATTTACAGCAAGTGTTAAACAGGACACATTCCTGGACAAGCTGATATTGCACGTACCTCCTCTATAAAATATAGAGAGAAGATGATCATACGTTGCAAGGCTTGGCTCTGAAAAGCAAAAACACTGAAGTTACTTTGACATTCTCGGCTGAGCTTTATGCCTGAGCTCTAATTCACAGTGTCCAGCCCTTCCAGTCAGGCAGCATGCATAAATTTACTCCATTATTTCTCTCCATGTCCACCTTAACGCTGGACCAGATTTCACATACAACTGGGAGAGATGGTTATGAGGGTGGACCTCCAGCTGTTCACCCCATATTGCTCTGGGGCAAACAGCCAAGCTTTCCTGCTCTAAATTAAAAGCAAAACCAGTTCATAACTAGTTTTCCATTCTGCTCATGAACCTCTCTCTGGTGTGTCAGCAAGCATGTTACCAGGGCAAAGCACATACTGCAAGGCACCAAATCAGCTATGCCAATATTCCCTGCTTTTGCAATGTTTACTTGACATCAAAAACCATCATCTAGATCAAAAGCTTTCTTTTCTGTAAAGATGTAGATATCTAGATCTGAACTGGTTTGGGTGGCTTGTGAAGTAAATCTCCTTGATCTATGGGAAGCCAACAGACTCAGCTGCCTGCTACAAATTTCTATTTGTATTACCTGTGATTTCTACAGCAGTACTACAATAAAGACCCAGATGAGAAAGAGCCTATGGGCCAGGACACACTCCCCCACTGCATACACACACCTGTCCTTGAGTAACTAGAGGTAACTACAGGTAAAAAGGTAATTATACATATGCTCCTAATCTAAAAGACTACAGCATCAAAATGCTTCACTATTTCACCTAAGGGGCCAAATGGACCCACTATATTGTAATTAGCAATCAACACTTAACAGAGACTGAAGGTGATGATTCAGTCTGAGATCCACAGGCACTGGCTTGCTGAGTGGACGCAGCTTAGTACTTACACGTTTTTATTTCTTAGTTCTCTTGCAAACAGAAACAAATAGTGAAGTTGAGAACACAGTGAGAAATGCTCCTTTCCACAAGCCCTGGACCAACCTTCCCTGCAACTAGGAACTGCTGTGTGGTTTTGCTGATGAACTCTTAACAATTTCAGAGGTGGTACTAGAACATAATAACCATTCTGGTTCTCTTACCTATATCAAGTGCTTCCATTTCCTTTATCACCAATAAAGACATACTTCTGCCTACACCACCACATCTTCTCAGAGTCTTCAGTACAGCATTAAAAGTTAGCAGATTCGGTTGCACTTTCTGTTGAGCCATGTGATTCAGGAAGACCTTAAACAAAAACCCCAAAGCCTTAGTGCTTCACATGTTATGGATCACAGTTCAGCTTTTGTAGGTATCCATGCCTCCATCTAATCCCTATCAACCCCTTCAAGTGAACAACTCTACCTCAACTCATCATTAAGGGAGTACCATCTAATTTATAATTAATTTGACCAAAAAAACAAGACCACAAAATTATACCAGATTAGACCTTGGAGAATTGTGTCTAGAACATCAAGGAAGTTTTTAAATGTACATACTATTTTTCCTTACTGATGTTATGTCATTAAAACCAGACCTTCCATTGCTACCCCTCAAAATTTCAATTCCATCACACCACCATGAAACACAATTCAGAGAAGAGTTTTTATCTAAAATAGTTTGTTTTTATCTCCCAGCATAATTTCCCAATTACTTCTGTCCAGGGAGTTCTTTGATCAGGTATGTTCTCACAAGGCAAACCATTCTGCAAGGGCAAGGTTGGATTCTGTATATTTGCACTACTCAGCAGTTAGTTTGTACATTTAAAGTAGAGCATTTCCTTTGCAGCAGGTATTAGTATCTTTGTGCAAAGCTCTTGTTTTCAGTCTTCTAACAACTGCAAAATTCTACTGATAAAACAGACCCAGACCCTACACTCTTACCCCTTCCCCATCTCTTTCATCCTACCTCCTTACCTTGGCTAACTCCCATCTTTCTAAGAACCTCTCCTTTAGATATGGGACTGCTGTAATCAGTGCGTTGAAGGTGTGCACATCAGCTGGAAAATGTAAGGTAGTTCATTTTAACTGACAATTGTATTCTACAGAAAACACTTTGTTCTAGCATGGCTCAGTTTTTGGCAAAGTCTCATGCAAACCTTTTTTCCAGTGAGCCTGCCACATGCCAGCTGCACTGAAATAAACAGTTTGCATTCAGCTCCCATGATCTAGCTGAGGTCCGTACCCCTGCGCCAATCATCACTGCCATGAAATAAAGATTCATATGCCCAGCAACAGGTTTCTGTTACTGAGACCACAAAACCAAACCAGGATACACTCACCCTTGTGTCTTTCATTCAATAAGTCTATGTACACGTCATAAGCTTTAGCAAAAGCCCCGTGCTGCAAAAACAAACAAAACCCAACAAAAATTAACAATCTCTATGACTGTGGGAGATTTCACAAGCTGAAAAAAGTCGTTTCAGCACTGAAGAGTAACTTTACCTTCACCATCCCACGGATCATTGTGCAATAGGAGTGTGCATTCCTTTCTGGCATTATCTTAAATATCCTTTCAGCATTGTTGTTCTCCCTAGAATCAACAAACAGGCTGAATGTTAAAGAACTCAATAAAAGACACCTTTAGGAAAAGGATTCAACATGCAGAACAAAATAATGGGCTATACTTCCAAGGGCTGACATTCAAATATATTACTTGTGACACTCTGAGCTATTCTACAATCAGTTACTAGATTTCCAGCAACACTTTTAAAGATTAGCAAACATAGATATATTTAACAAATAAAACCTTCAAGTATGGGCTGCTAAAAAGTCTTTAAGTCTGTTTTATAACAACAATGCATGTGCACAACCCACTGAATACAGGAATATCAGTAACATTTTCTGTACCTCCATCTAGAGCCTGACAACTGTGAACCTCTTTGGAATTGTCTCTTTGGAGCCTTCTGCTCTGAAACGCTGACCTGGAGAGATTTGTGCAGAAATAAGGTTCTCGGAGTTCAAAGTTATGATCAAATATCAAATGATGCAATTGGGTAACAACACAGAAGTTCAGCAGCAATTTATATGCTACCGAAGGTGCTTTTTTAAACATTAAAATAATTAATTTCTATTATAATGTTCAGGAAGCAGTAACTAGATTAAGAATATTGTTTGTGTTATTAAATATGCTAACAAGGTAAATCATATGTATCTATAGAGCTGATGGGAATCAAGAGACTATAGCAAATGCTCTGTGAAACCCTTTCTCCCTCAACAGTCTTCCCAGAGACAGGTGCTGTGCAATGCATGTACCACTGTACCCTGCGCCCTGATACTCTGAGGTGACACAAGGAGCCCTCAGCTTCACTGAAATCTAGTTAATATGGTTCAGAATTAACTAGGTGATCTTCCCTACAGGTACTAGAGTTGTTCTATGCAGGCAACTAGAAAAACAATGCTGTCAGTGAGAAACAGTTATTGAAATGCAGTTCAGCAGAACTAAGCCAAGAGAGGGTTCCAGCTGCTAAGTTCAGCTTTATGGAAACCACTTTTGCTACTAGGTCAGACACGGGATTTTTATAACTGCTGCATCTCTTGGGAACATTGACTGCATCTGACCCTCTTCACACCATCTCCCAGGTGTACAAAAATCCTGACATCACCCTGATACACTCCCACAATGAATGGAAGAAATAAATAAACAGAGATCAACAGGTTTTTCATACCCCTGGTTCCTCCAAATCCTCTTTTATTTCTTCATCTTTTTCCGGAGTAGATTCTGCATCTCCACAGAAGCACAACAAATCTAAAAGGCTGTTTGTGGTCTCCAGAGATACAGGGGTACCTATGGAAAATAAGGATGTACAACAGTCAGAAAGTAAAGAACATGCCATTCTACAGCTGTACCAGAAAACTTTTGAACACCCAGTTATGCCACTTTGTTCTCTTTTGACATAAAGGCATTCTTCTCTAGCCAGTGTGTAAAACCTGGGTGTGACCCTTAATACTTCCATGAACCCACCCATAGCAGAGGACAATTTTAACACTGAACTAAAGTATCTGTTTTTCTATTGAAGCCACTGAAAGGGGAGTTTTCCTGACTGAGTGGGAGAGCAAAGTGGGAGCTGGCAGACAAAACTGTGAAGCAGAACAAGCTCAATACAATATCTGAAATTTCTAGTGCTTTTCATAACTACTCCTAGGATAAACCCTGCTGTGAAGACCACTTTGTGTGCTTCATTTTATATGAAACAGACTTAAAACCAACCAAAGAAAAGAGCTATTTGATGGAATCATCTCCTTTCCATCTTGTAGTGGATATGAGAAGGTCTCACCTTCCCAGTAAGTTTTCCTCCTTTAGATTCTGTGGCAGTTACAGTTTTCTGTTGCTTCCTCCTCGATCACCCATCACAAAGATTAAGGTCCAAATTAAGGAGGGACTAAGAAAGACTCATTTATTGGGGTCAGGTCCACAGAAGGGGCACTCAGTTGGTATGCTACACCAGTCCAACACAGCAGCAAAGCACTCAGCACAGACACAGCTTATACCAACCCATAGGTTGCTGCGTGAGGGCCTTTGCAGGCAGAATAGTATCACTCAGTCACATCACATCTGCCTGTAACAGGCCCTGCTCTACTGCATCACAAATTGTTCCACTTTGGAAGGGAAGGGAAAAAAAAACAACCTCATCACATCATCTGCATGTTGATCAGCAAAACATCTGTTCTCCCTATCACCAAAGCAACGTGGTGGATAGGGAAGGCTCAACAATTCTGGAGAACTAATTAATCAGACCAGAGTCAGTTGTGAAAGGCAGCAACATAATGAAAATTGTCTCCATAGCCTGTACCAGCTACTAAAATATTTTTGCCACAATTTAAGTAGAGCTCCACCACAGAACTTGGCAGGTGACCACATACCTGCTTGTACGAGCTGATCAAACAGGTCCACAGACTCCTTCACCCTTCTGAGGTGGACACGCTCTTTTAGAGCCTCCTCACTCACCCCTTCAATCTGAGGTGTAAGAACCTCAGGCATCAAGCACTAAAAATGAAGAGTGCAAGTTAGACACGAGCTCAAACCTTCTCTAAACCATCGCTAAAATATTAACCAAATATGCTTCCTCTTCACCCAGTACACTGCTTTGATAATCTCCGGACCCTCCCAGCCTAACAAGAACAGTCCTTCTGGTGATGAAGGACCACACCTCCTGATCTCTCTTTCATGCTAGTAAGTCAACATTTATTTTCTTACTTTTGTCTAAAGAACCCAATATGATATTGAATTTCTAAAGAAAAACGTTCACTTCAGAAACATAAAGGAAATACAGCACTGCTTTCATAGCTGTTTGCAAAACAGTTCACAAAATTAACCTTTTATGTTAGTTTTGGACAAGTCTGACAGTTGATTCCACTATCTGACAAAGGACAAATACAATGAAAATGAAAAGCAAAAAGCTTACTGGTATGTCGGGCTCTGCAGAAATCTTGTCAAAATATTGAGGAAATTGTTTAATAATGTATTTTGCAACATTTCTCCCAGACTCCTTTGACAATGCAAATAGGCGCTGCACAGGGATGAGAGGGAACAAGACGAAGAAACATGCAATTAAAAGGCTGAGAGTGAGAAAAACAAGTTCCATAACACTGAGCGTTCTGATGGGATCAAATTAAACTCACGTTTCTTTCACAACTCTTAGAAAAAAACACAAGCCTGAGACAATATTCCAGATAAACATTCTGGTGTTTATGCCAATATAAGAGTGTCTATTCTTTAAATGAGACTGTAATTTGCTTTTCTGTTACTCAGTCAAGGGACAAAGTTCTGTACCAGACACATCTGAAATGCTGCACTACTACCTCAGGCTCAAAGCATCTCACTTTTCAGTTACAGCACACAGATGTTTCTCTCCCTCCTTTCCAAGAGCACCACCCGATTCCCATTCACTGCTTTTCCTTAAGTTCTAAAGTGAGACCCTCCTTCACTGTTTCTTTTAAAACTCTTCACATTCAACAACTGCCTTCAGCCTTCTCAACGGCTTCATCTCTGGTGTGTACAAGAACTGAAGTTCTCTCAGAGCCATATCACTGATGTGCCATGACATATCTCAGCTCCCAGTCTTCTCTTGCTATGTTCTCATTAACATCACACACAGCACTTCCTTCTTGCCCTCATTTCCAGTTCTGCTTTCTCCTGCCTCAGCTTCACACTGTCACATCTTATGCAAAGATAACAACAGGGGAAGACTCTTTTCCTTCTTCCTTTTCCTTATCATCTCAATACCCCTATTCCCATAAGCCCAAGTTACCAAATAGCTGCTCTGTGATAAAACTCAAATTCCTGGGGCTTGGCCAGGACAATTAACTGGTAACATGTAGTGTATGAACTAACACACTCAAGTGACCTTGTGTGTTATACATTTAATTCAAATTTAACTAAACTGTAAGCACAAAATCTCAACACTTGCAATACCACATATTCACAGTCCATATCCAAGGTATATAAAACCAGTTTTAACAGGTTGAATGCCTCATCTGAAGAATTACTGTTGGGAGTTACTTAACAGACTAAGAACATGGAGAAACAGAACAACTCAGCAGGTAAGCCGCTAACTTGTAGGAATGTTACCAGAGCTGTGTCAGCTGGAAGGTCCCTCCAGCCCCAGGAAGAAGAGGTAACTGTGTGTGCAGGGTGGATTTCATAGAATCACGGCATGGTTTGGGTTGGAAGGGACCTTAAAGACCATCCAGTTCCAACCCCCCTGCCATCAGCAGGGACACCTTCCACTAGACCAGGTTGCTCAAAGCCTCATCCAACCTGGCCTGGAACACTTCCAGGGAGGAGCAGCCACAGCTTCTCTGGGCAACCTGTTCCGGTGTCTGACCACCCTCACAGTGAAGAACTTCTTCCTAATATCTCATCTAAACCTCCCCTCTTTCAGCTTAAACCCATTTCCCTTTGTTTTGTCATTAACTGCCCTTATGAAAAGTCCTTTCCCAGCTTTCTTGTAGCCCCTTCAGGTATTGGAAGGCCACTATAAGATCACCCTGGAGCCTTCTCTTCTCCAGGCTGAACAGCCCCAACTCTCTTGGCCTGTCCTCATAGGAGAGGTGCTCCAGCCCTTGGATTTTCCAAGAGAAACACTACAGTCATTAAACTTTCAGAAATACAAAGAGGAGAAAATTCAGATAGAAATGTGAAACTTCTTGTTTTCTTTTGTAATTGAAACTAAGCTCCAATTAGATAGAGTTTTTATAGCCTAGATGAAGGGGAGGGGGGAAGCTATCAAGGACTTGGAAGGAAATACTTACTGAACTGGCTGCATTTCTTGGCATAAGGTAAGGGTCATCCTGGAACATATAATGAGCAGCAGTAGGGTCCTGTAGGAAGGAGAACCCAGGATTGAAATGTTTACAGTTCTATACACAGGCATGCTGTATACATATCCCACTGCCTCACAGAATTTAAGGCACAATCAACAGTTCCACCGTAACCACCACCTGATGCCCATTTTACAAAAGCTCCTCTTGTTCAGAAGGCTTAACCTGTCTGGAAACAGTTTTAAAAAGCATTTCAATTATAGACACACATGTGGGTTAACATAGTGACAACAAAAGGGTCCTTACTAAAATACATGAGTGCCCTGAAAAGCAAGCAGTCTCAGGGGAGCTGAGAGCACTTGCAGGATCAGATTCAATTTCCAGAACCCAAGACAGGATTAAAGATGGCATCACAGCGTTTCCAGTTGTTGCCTAGCAAAAGCAGACCCTGATGGCTCTTTGCAAGGCTTACGTTCTGGACTGAGATTGGGAAGAGGCAGCTTGGATTGGGAAGCTGAACTGGTAAAGGAACTTGCTCCTGATGTTAGCAAAAGCCTTATCAAAGTATGACAGCTTTCACTGGTAGTTGCAGCTCTCTCTTAGCACTAGAATGAGACTTTAAGGGCACAGCAAAAGTTAAAATCCCTTAAAAAAACAGAGGTAAGTGTCTCATCTTACATTTATGGCCAAACTAGAAGTAAAAGCCTCCAGAGTGCAAGGCTGTTGTGCGAGATGGACAACTTGACCTGTTTCCACAATCAACAGAACTACTTACCCTCTTCACAGTAGAAGCCAGTGTTTGAAGAACTGCTAGCTTATCCCTGAAAATAAAGGAGATTTCATTATACTCGCTTGCAGACTTTGAATGTTACACATCACATTGTATGCAGAACAAGCACAGGATCATCCTGGCCTGTGAGGGTTTTCAGTTCTAGGAAATAATGGGTTTGCTGCACTGAGAAAATAGCACTTTTTGCAAAGGGAGGGAAAATTCAACTACAAAAACGGTCTCAGTTCTGGAACAATCACGGGAAGGAGACTTTGATGAAAACCAGAAAAGCACATGTGCTTCCTGCTACCACTCCTGCCCTTATTGTACAGTATCAGAGAAAGAACATAGGGGAGGGAGACAGAAAGAATTCCCTGGAATGCTTCTCTCGAAGCCTGCCATCTCTGAGGGGTGGATACACGAGTCCCTTTCCAAGTCTTGGGAGGAAAAAAAACCCAAACCAAACCAAACCTAGTTTTCTCAGGACTCCTGTGCCTGTGGATCCTTCAGACTTTTGTTGTGTTTCAATCAAACAAGGAAAGACCCCTGAAAGTGTTTAGGTGAAGGTGGTCTTATTTTAGGTTTACATGCAGACACCATTTGGCTATAAACTTTGCTTTTGCTGTACAGTCAAAGCAATTTCAACTTAAGTGCTCCCAAGAAAACACCTTTTGTTCAGCTGCATAATTGCTAAACAAGATTTATCCAAACAGTTTATATTGCTGAAAGAAACACATCAACATGTGGACAGCCAAATGATTTTACAGATTTCTAGTGAATGTGATCTTTTACAAAGAAACAGAACTATGTTTAAAAATACAATTCCTTACAACTGTTTTAAAAGAAAGGCCAAGAATGGGGTGTACCTGCACTGCACAGAGTGTAAGAGTCAAAAATATTCCCAGAGCTTCCAGACATCAGGAGAGTAACTAGTGGGACATTAAATCCAGGAATACAACAACCTGAATTTTTGTTTTCAACTTTGGTGAACTACATTTAGCTGCCTAACAATTATTTTCTTCCAGGTCAAGAGATATTCCACCAGTAAACACTCACCAGGTTTTCCTTCGTGGGAGCACAATTTCTTCTTGAGTAACTACGAGAAGCAATATTAAAATTGTTATTAGAGACCCAGAGAAGTCCAAAGAAAACCTTGATCTCATGAAAATTGAATTAAGCTGATCCAGCCGAAAAGTACTAAAGCCAAGATTTTAAAACCATAGTCTGATGTAGGCCACAATTTACTGGAGTGGTAACAGAAAAGGCTGACAGGGAGCTTAACAGTCTTGTGTCAAGACAGAATAAGGGCCCTATGGAAAACAAACCTCAGAGAGACTGTACCCACTGAACCCTCAAAGAGATCACTCATCCAAGCTTCTTTGACCATCCTTATTCTGTATCTTCTTGCTTGAGCCCCAACCTTTCCCAGTCCTTTGGTTTCCCACTCTTAATCCTCCAGTTTGAAGTTTGCTGTCTCTGCCCCTTTGGCTTCTCCAGTTCAGCCTGCCTGGGCACTGCAGTAAAGTGCCCTCTGAAGTTCCTGCTCTGACAGCCTGACACCCACTGTCAGCTCCTTCCACCCCACGGATCAATCCACCCAGCTTTCCCAGAGAGGAAAAAAGGACAACACTAAAAGAAGCAGCTGTAGGTTGTCAGCAAAGCACATTAGCAAATTCATTCACAGAGGAGCATGTGGGACCTCCTGATCACAACCCCCAGAGCCAGGGTTTGCAGAAGCACTTTTCCCACTGCCTCTGAGTTGATGCTTCCATGAGCTGTTACTGACTGGCAGGAACGTGTTCCCATGTGCAGCACGGCTCCAAGCAGCCCAGCTTACTTTCCTCACAAAACCTATAGCAGAAATATGGTAAGGAGTACAGAGAAGAAGCAAGAACGTGAAGGAAAATGCCAGGATTAAGATGGAAATCTCCTTATTTTTATTTTATAGTTTATTTAGTTTGAAAGGGGAACTGGACAAGTCATGGAATTGGACAAAGTTCATGCTCTCAGAGCACGGAGCTGGTTGGTGGTGAGGGTAATCAAGCTAAGCCAGGAAATCTCTGCACAATGAAGATGGGGGGGAAGAAATTCCAAGAAGAGAAAGAGTATTCATGTCTTCTTTACCTCCTGATGTACTATATTGTTTGAAGATTAAAAACATATATGCAAGAAACTAGTAATGAAGACATCATACCTTCTGAACTGTCCACAGTCTTCCCAAGAGCTGTACTACCAGAAGAGCACCTACAAAGCAATCAGAGGTTTGAATTTATGGTAGTCACATTAATATAGTGAAAGCAGATTAATGAAATTCTGTACTACAGGTCAGAATTAATTAATACATTAGAAAGAAAAAGTCACTGTAAATGTCACTCTGCTACTAACTCCAAATTATCATCATAAAACTCATAGTTGATGCTTCTCTTAAAGACTTAATTTAGAGACACAAAGTTATACACAGAAAATCATACTACTAAAACTTGTAGTATTTTATTTTTCATGATATCATGGCTTTAAAGTAGTTTTAATGAATTACTGCACCTTAGAATGAAAATCCTGTAACAGAATTCAGAAAAGACACTTTGTGTTTTAAAGGCAGGATCTATCTGAAAGTAGGATCTTTTAAATAAATAGTTTAGACCTGAGTAGTGTCTGCACAAGCAGAAGACCCCGAACTGGGATGCAGAGAAATGAGACCTCTCTAGTTCCAGCTACCCAGTCTCCACAGAGCTGCAGACAGCACACTCATAACCACGGCTGCAGAAGCCACATCCATCTAAACTTCCTGCTGCTATTTACTGCAAAGCATCTGCTCTGAGCTCAGCTCAGCCACAGGACGCAGCTCCAATCCTTACAACTGCTCATATTTTACTACTTTTAACACAAATTAAAGCTTACATTAAAATACTTCCCCCCTCCTGAAGTGATCTAACACTGAAGCCCCACTGTAACTGGTATCTGCATGTGCTTCCACACTGACCCCGACCCTGAGGGAGATGCTGTTAACGTGCATTCACACCTCTGTGCTTTACAGTGATGCTGCATAATGCTGGCTGCTCCTGCGTGTCACTGTGTCCTGGTGTTGAGCTGGGACAGAGCTGGGTTTCTTTTTAGTAGCTAGAACAGAGCTGTGTTTTGGTTTCAGCTGGGATTTGTTATGAGAGAAACACTGAGAACATCCCAGTGTTTCATTTTTGTCACTGAAAGTGAAGGATTTTGTGTTCTGTTAGTCTACAAGTGCAAGATCTGGGGGGGGGGAGGAATGTTTAAATTAATAAGTTAAACTGGCATTTGGATATGACAATGGGATATTCCATATCATATCATGTAATGTCTAGTACATCATCACGAGGGTCTCTCCCTCTCTTGCTCTCTCTGGCTTTCACTCGGGCTCTGGCTCTCCCGGGATTGCGGTTTCGGTTCGGGATTGTCACTGCTCTGGGATCGTTATCTGGGAACAGGCCAGGCTTGGTCAGTGGGTGGTGAGCAATTGTGCTGGGTATCACTCATTTGCATATTGTGTTACTGTTATCATTATCACTACTATTTTAATATTAGTACTATTTTACGGGGTTTTTTTATTTCTATTCTTAAATTGTTCTTATCTCAACCTACGAGTCTCCTTACCGCTGCCCCCAGTTCTCTCCCCTATGCCCTGGGGAGGGAGCGAGCGGGCAGCTGTGTTTGGCTGAGACCACCACAGTCACACAACCGTATCAGTTACGATGTTACTGTCTCAAATGTGAGTTATATTTTGCCTACAGAGCACCCAGAGGATTGAGAACCTTTCATTTGAGGCATATCCTGAATCAACCTCCCACCCCATCTGCTTTTTCGTGTCATCACGTAACAGCTCAAGCTCACTCCCGAGACAGCTCTGAGTCACAAAAAAGCAGGGACAGGCCTGATACCAAAAGACCATCCCCTTCTGCTTAAAACAATGGGGCATTTAAAGTTAGTTACATATCAGCTAAGTCTAGTCTGTAGTCTAAAATAGCTAACAGGAGACTTGAGGCATTAGATCTTCGATAAGGGAGTGATGCTGGAGTAAACCATTTTGGGGAGACAAAAATGTAAACGGGCCAAGAGATGAACTAAGCATGTGCAGAAATAAAATTCAGCTAAAGGGCACAGTGACACAAGTTTCCACGATCACCAGACAGGCCCTGAAGACGACCTGTGCGCATGCGAAAAGCACATTTACATACAGCAATGAATGAATTCTTAGCAATGTAATGAATCATAGGATCACAGAACGGTTTGGGTTGGAAGGGACCTTAAAGCCCATCCAGTTCCAACCCCCCTGCCATCAGCAGGGACACCTTCCACTAGACCAGGTTGCTCAAAGCCTCATCCAACCTGGCGTGGAACACTTCCAGGGCCAGGCTGGATGAGGATGAATATGCTTATGGATGAATATGTTTATGATTTCTTGGACAATAACTGAATATGGATGTTTCGATAGTATAAAGCTTTTGCAGAGGGACAAGTCGGGATGCACGACAGGTGGGGCGATCCCCCGTGCATCCGGCGCTGCAATAGAGAATGCTGCCTCCTGAAACTCCCAAGCGACTCTCACAGAGTCTCTCCCGACCGGCTCTTTCGGTCCCGGGCCCCAGAAGAGCCGCTCCCTCACCACAGCCCAGCCCAGCCCAGCCCCGGCCATGC